GCCCCCCACCCTCTGTGTGCTCCTTGGAGCTGAGCACTAAGGCTGGCTTTTGAGTTTTTACCAATAATATATATTTCACTCTTTTTTATATTATGCCTGTGAGGTGCTCTGATTTGGGGGTCCTCACGCTGATCCCCAGAGGGGAAGACCCAGCTTATCAGAGGGGTTGTTTCCTTCTCAGCCAGTTGGAACTGAATTTGCCCCCTGGACTCTGACTATCTGCCTATTTTCTCCCACACCACGATCTGCCTCATGTAAAATTCTGCTTTTTCTTCTACCCCAAATTATGGCTACCCACCACCCCCACTCTCCAAGCTGTGAGCTCTGGTGTGGGGTTTTCCTCCTGTCCAGGATTATGTCCCCTTTAGGGCGTCAGCCTGGAGAATTTGCTACTGGTGCCAAGGGCGAGAGGAGCTTTTCAGCTAGAGCCCGTCAGCCCAGCTCACCAAACCTCGAGCGATTTAGAGCATTCTTGGTTCACTTTGTGAGTGGAAATGACACACCAAAAAGGAGTTCAGGAGAGACCCTAGTACCTTAATTCTAATTTCAGAACTCCACCTCCAAGTTTCCTTCATCTTACCTCCGAGTTTTCTGGTCTGGCAGCAGGAGTTCCTGACGGGTGAGTCTTAACTAGTCGCCATTTTCCTCTACTCGCTGCTGTATGTTTTGATAGCCGGCCACCATCAGTTTTCTTCACCACTTTTGCTTATGCACCCGCTTTAAGACCAACCTTAATATGCATCACTAGAAGAGGTTTTTTTTTATAGTTGAAGGGCAAGATCCTTTTAAGACCCCTACATATCTTGTGGTTTTAAACTTTGAAAATGTTTAGATTCCTAGACCAGAGCAAAGAACTGCCTCTAGACTCATGAGTTCAGGGCTGGCCCCAAAACTCATACACGAGTTCTTTTCCTTTGTCTCTGCTTCAGTTCTCCCAGCCTTCCAGGATAAAGAAGGAAAGGGAAAGAGGGCGGGTGGAAAGGAGAGAGAGAGAGAGAGACCCCAAAAGCAAAGGGAAAGCCCCCACAGGGAGTGAACTCACTGTGCTTCCGCATCTGCTGCATCTGAAGTGGTGAGTTAAGAAACCAAAAGTTTTTTAGCAGAGGAAGCCCAGATATGAGAATTCTCCCTCCCTGGCTCTTGTTATCCTCGCAAGACAGAAATCAGGCGAGGGACAGAAGGCACAATGAAGCAAAAATTTTCATGGGAAAAGAATACACGTAGTGTACCAGTGGGCACATCAGCTAGTCTGAAGATGCCACCTGCGGGGAGAATTGGAGGTTTTAGACGCTCAGTTTCAGGTTTTCATATCTCCCATCTCCAGAAATTAGATAAACACGGAGTTCCCAGACTTCCCATTTTGAGTCTTTTCCCAGAACTATTGAGGCACCTTTGTTCTATTGGGTAGGAAATTTATTACTAATTACCTTCACTCTTCCTGTCCAGGGGTAAGAGGGTTTAGGGATGGGGAACAGGCTTTTATCCTAACAAGGTGCATCTGACTCAAGCCAAGATATGTTCAGTCACCTCATAATGCATAATAAAGTTGAACGGTGAGTCAGGAAGACTGAAAAGTTGGTGCTTTGAATTGTGGTGTTGGCCGATATTAGAGGCTACACCATGGACTACCAGATGAATGAATAAAATCTGTTCTGCAGGAAATACAAGCAGAGTGCTCCTTAGTGGCAATGATGGAATGGCAAGACTCCATACTTAGTATGGGCATATTATCAGAAGGGTCTACTAATTCCTGGAGAAGGACATTAATTGCTTGGTAAAATAAAGGGTCAGCCAAAAAACAACAACGAAGACTCAGAATAAGAGCACACTAAATTAGGAATCCTGACATCAGAAGATGGCTATGTTAGGTCGAAGGTCTAAGGCTACAACTCCCATTTTGATTAAAAAGCAAACTGCATCAGGAATGTAGTCCTTCATTCTTGTAACTTTCCACTGAATTCTGAGAAAATCACTTGGTAAACATCTTCCGCAAGCAATGTAATTTTGCTTCCTTAAGAGTTTTGCTTGCTGCTTTGGAAGTCAGGTCCAAAACAATTCTCAAAACTCATGCTTACTAAAAATAAACTTTAATGTTGTACATATCCTCCCCGCAGTCATGCAAGGAGAGTCATTATTTTGAGGCCAGATGTACCCAATTTAATGGTTACGTTGTAAACTTTTTAGAAACATATAAGCTACCAATCAGGTATACCCTCATCCAGTTTTATAATTATTTCTTAAATGTCAACCAATCACTGAATCTTTAGTAAAGTTCCTTATACTGTATTATAAAACCTCCCTGAACATTTCCTCCTTAAATTACTTAATCTTCCTTTCTTTGTGATTCCCCATTTGCAAATTGCCTTGCCTCTCAATAAAAGTTCTTTACTTAAAACAAAAATCATTTTATTGGGGGCTCTTAAAGCTCTTATCACAATCCATACATACATCCATTGTGTCAAGCACATTTTCAAAACATTTTCTTTCCACTTGAGCCCTTGGTATCAGCTCATTTGCCCCCCTTCCCCAACCCTTCTTCCCTCATGAACCCTTGATAATTTATGAATTTTTTTTTTTCCATGTCTTACAATGACCACTGTCTCCCTTCACCCACTTTTCTGTTGTTCCTTTCCCTGGGAGGAGGTTATATGTTGATCATTGTGATGGTTCCCCCTTTCTCCCTCTACCTTCCCTTTACGCTCCTGGTATTGCTACTCTCATTATTGGTCCTGAGGGGTTTATCTGTCCTGAATTCCCTGTGTTGCGAGCTCTTATCTGTACCAGTGTACATGCTCTGGTCTAGTTGGATTTGTAAAGTAGAATTGGGGTCATGATAGTGGGGGCGGGAGTGGAAAAGAAGCATTATAGAACTAGAGGAAAGTTGTATGTTTCATTGGTGCTATACTGTACCCTGACTGGCTCTTCTCTTCCTTGTGACGCTTCTGTAAGGGGATGTCCAGTTGTCTACAAATGGGCTTTGGGGTCTGTGCTCTCCCCCTCATTCACATCAATATGACTTTTTGTTCAGGGTCTCTGATGTTTCATACCTGATCCCATTGACACCTCATGATCACACAGGCTGGTGTGCTTCTTCCATGTGGACTCTGTTACTTCTCAGCTAGTTGACCGCTTGTTTATATTAAAGCCTTTAAGACCCCAAATGCTATATCTTTTGATAGCGGAGCACCATCAGCTTTCTTCACCACATTTGCCTATGCGCCAATTTTTTCTTCGGTGATCATGTCAGGGAGTTAAACATCACAGAATGCCGGCTTATTAGAACAAAGTGTTCTTGCATTGACAGAGTACTTGAGTCGAGGCCCAATGTCCATCTGCTACCCTAATACTTAACATATAAATACATGTACATAGGTCTATTACCCTATCACTATATATAAATATATTTGCATGTGTATATGCATATATTTAGACCTCTATAAATGTCCTTTGCCTCCTAGTTCTTTCCTTTATTTTCTTTTACTTTCCGCTTGTCTGACTATCATGTTCGACCTTCATTCGGCTTTCAGTAATTCCTCTTGGCTACATTCCCCTTGATCAATCCTACTCCCTCCTTGCCATCGATTTTAGATCACTTGTTTGTTCCTCTTCCCCTGGGTTTGTTGGCACTCCCTTCCTTTCCCCTGCCCGCCCCCCATCTCCCATGTCCCCTGGAACTGTAGGTCACGTTGTTTTCTCTTCTGGATTGCTTATCTTACCTTTCTTATGTAGACAGACATTCAAAAACAATAATAAGCCCCCCCCAAAAACAAGAATAACAACAAAGAAAAGCATATAAATAGTTCTTGGTCTGTTTGTTGACCTTTATGAGTGTTTTCCAGTCAAGTCTGGTAGGGTACCATACCCTGGCCCCAAAGTCTATTTTTGGTATTCCTCGGGGACTTCATTTCTTTGCTTCCCTGGCTGCTTTGTTGCACACCCTTAGTGTTTCGCCCTTTTTATTTCCAAGCAGACATCTACAGTTTGGTTTATGATAGCTTAAACAAGACGGAGTGATATATTGGCTACAGCAGTGGACTTAAACAGCAATAATTGTGGGGATGGTGCAGGATAGGCATCATTTTGTTCTGTTGTACATAGAAACAGAAGGAGTTGGAACTGACTTGCTGGTAAGTAATAGCAACAAGAGAATCTCCTTTGTTAAAACAAGAGGTGATGAATTTTGTGTATGTGTAGGTACCCTTTTCCAGCAGGAAAAGACACATTTTCCTTAATTTGACTCAAGCTTTTAAAATTAATATTTGGTTGTATAGTAGAAAAATCATAAAATCTAAGTTAGATGTCACTAATTTTCCTCTTCAAAACTTCATCAGCTTGTCTTGGAGGTAGGGAAGCACGGGGAGTAATGAGCAGTTGAAATTCCTGAGAAACTAAAGAAGGGGAAGGAAGACACTAGTGAAGATTGAAGTTAAAAATCAAGGCTGTCAATGAGTTAAATTGTACAGATGAAGTGATCTCCTTCTGGTTTCTCTTTCTGCAATGTTATTGATGGGTTGCACCTAGAGAAAAGAAGCCTGAATTTTGGTAAAGGATAAACTTTTAAAAGGACAGAATCATGACCCATTCAAATGAACACATGTCAACGCTTTTATTTATCTACTTAATGAGCGACAGGATGGGCAGCTGGCATAGCCATTTCAAAGACGTAACAGAACCACTAGCATACAGGAAAAAAAGGAATGTTGCAAGTCATTTTACAAAAGGAGACAAAAGGCCTGGGCGCAGGAGGTACTCATTCATCAGACCATGTATCGGTATATTTATGGGTAGGGATTATTTGCGTTGTTCTTAGTTCTCCACAATTTCCAGAGATGTAAAGTAGCAGTAAGGCGAGGGAAAAGGAGATATCTGACCTGTGAGGTCAGATACCTTTAAGGCCCAAAGCCTTCAGCATTCTTTTAAAAGGGTATTAGTAGCCTCTTGATTATTCTGTACTGTGCTTCCTGTATATATTCATCATTCCTCTAATATTGATTTGGCAGATTGTCTTCACTTTTCTGTTTTAAAAACCGTGTCTGGTCCAAAATGTCCTTTCCCTTCTGCCAGCTTATGTGAGAAGACTCTACAACTACCTGAGTGTCTGAATTTGTAGTAAGTGCATTTTACACATCCATTTGGATTATTTCTATGTAATATCTTCTTGTGATATCATTTTTCGAGTTATAGGTGATGATTAAGAGTTCTTTTACTATGTAATTTTAAATTAGAAATTAATCAGTAATATATGTACATTTTGAAATGTATAGCTTTGGGCTCATTATAGTAACTTTAAGATTTATTCATAATCAGAGGTAGACAATAAAGACTAGGACAAGCACACTATAGACATCTAGTGGATTTCACTTGCCCATTGCCCTGACTCATGGTGACCTCATGTATAGTAAGACTGGACCATTTTTTTCCCATCAACTGATTTGGAACTAGATCACCAAGCCTTTCTTCCTAGTCTATTCATAATACTTTGGAACTCCATAGCCTCTCACAAGATAGGTGGTAACTGTACATAAGTTACTTTGGCTGAGAATTGCAGCCACACCTCCAGGCTGGCATTCTATTTTCCACTTTCCTCATCCATTGGCTAGAGGCCAGTAATACTGCCAAACATCCTTTTATGAACCGGGCAGGCCCTTTCCCCCAAGCAAGAATTACTGGGCCCAAAATGCTAATGCGAGGGTACTCAAAAAGTTCGTTGGAAATGGAATTGAAAGATAATGGTTTTATTCCCCACAAATTTTTTGAAGTTCCTACCTACTGCTATGGTTGAGAAACTCTTAGAATCCATGGAAAGATGTTAGAGGAAGGCTGAAGTGTCTGGTGTGAGAACATTAAAAATAGTTATATGCTTTTATAAGTCAGAAAGCATCCCACTTAAAAATCTTAAAAATAATTTTCTTGTTGACAGTGTTCTATTTTAGAAATTAAACAGTGAGCATTACTTGAGACAATGATAGAGTAGAAACAATCACTGTTCCTTTATAATTAATGAATAATAATTAAAATTTTTATGTCATTTTCCTGTTTTAGGTTTTACCAAAGAAACATCTTGGAGATTCATCTCATTCCCAAGATCATAGTATTTAGTATTTAGAGTTATCCTCCTTCTTCTAAGTTATATTTTGGAAATCAAAATGAAAACTTTCTGCAGAATTTTAGAACAACTATATAAGAAGATACTTCTTGGAGCTTCACTTGAAAATGACAGTCTTGATTACACCTTATATCTCAATCCAACCTTTCCAAATCAGGATTTCCCTACGGTGACCTCCCCAATGTGGTCAAATACTCATGTTGTCTGGAGCACTCAGAAGCCATGCTCTTTCAATTTGGCTCTCATTTCTGTAGCACCAGAGTGTTTGAAGAGACCCTCTTCTCTGAGTAGTGCCCGAGAAGTAATGCTGCTTCAATTAACAGTGATCAAAATGATGATAACCAGAATATTATGCATTAAAACTGAGTTGCATGTAAAGGAGCAATACAAAATAATTATAAAAAATCTTTTAGAATCATCTGACGTGGATTCTAAATTGGTAAGCCACTTGGGTTTTTTGGTTTTGGTTTTGGTTTTTAAGACTTCGACTTTTAAAATTAAAGTTTAAAACATTAACAATAATTATTAAGTACTTGATTTTTCTACAGATCTGTGTATTCCAAAATTCAGATAAACTCTTATCTCACATGGCTGCAGAGTGCCTTGCACTGCTTCTACATTTCCAACTACGTGAGAAGGTGAGCTAAACAACCACATTATATAATTATTTTCATTGTCATCTCCTTAAAATTGCTCATTGTCATTTGATTTTATACTTCAGCTCCTTGTATTAGAATATTTTGCTCACATAAATACATAAGTAAATTCCTACAAGTGAGAAAATGGAGTACATGATAATGGCTCTATCAAGAGCTATAGTTTAAGTACATTATAAATAGTTGTGTGAAGACGAATACAGCATCACGGTTACAGGAGGACGTATTAACAACCTGCAGATGACACAGCCTTGTTTGCTGGAAGCGAGGTGGGCTGAAAACACTGATGGAGATCACGGGTTACAGCCTTAATGTCAAGAAAATGAAAATCCTCACAATTAGACCAACATAAATCATTATAAACAGAAAGTTTTTAATTTGTCAAGGAGTTCAACTTGATTGGATTCATAAGCGATGTTCCTGGAAGCATCAGTAAGGAAATCAAGTGATACACTGCGCTGAGTAAAATCTGCTGTACAAGAACAGTTGGTTTAAGTGCTAAAAGCCAAGGATATCACTTTGAGGACGAAGGTGCGCCTGACCTACGCCATGTTATTTTCAGTCACCTTATATGCACGTGAAAGTTGGACATTGAATAAGGATGACCAGAGAAGAATCACATTTGAATTATGGTACTGGCAAAGAATATTGAAAGTACCATTATCTGCCAAAAGAACAAACAAATTTGCCTTTGACCAAGTACAATGAGAACGCGGTGCTCCCTAGAAATGAGTACTGGGAGACTCCATCGCAGGTACTTCGGAGAGCTGCGTCTCTGCAAAAGGATATCACGCTGGATCAAGTCAAAGGGCCAAGAAACAGGAGGACGAACTTTAGTGAAATGACTGTAGACAGTGACTTTAGCAATGGGGTCAAACCACTGTGGGGATGACTGATGGCTGGGCTATTTCTGTTCTTATAGGGTGTTTATGAAGTGGAACCTAACAACAGACTATGCATCTTATCCTTTCAACTATAATCATTTATTTCTTTTGTAAAATAATTTTTTCTGAGCATAAAAGATAATGTGCATGGTAAAATAGTTGCATTTTATTTTTTTACAAATCATTTTTGGGGGCTCTTACAACCCTTATCACAATCCATCCATCCATCCATTGTGTCAAACACCTGTGTACATCTTTTGCCATCATCATTTTCAAAACATTTTCTTTCTATTTGAGCCCTTGGTATCAGTTCATTTCCCCCCTTCCCCACCCTCCCTCCCTCATATCTTACACTGACCACTGTCTCCCTTCACCCGCTTTTTTGTTGTCTGTCCCCCTGGGAGGGGTCATATGTCGATTATTAATGTGATCAGTTCCTTCTTTCTCCCCCCCACTTTCCCCTTACCCTCCTGGTATCGCTACGCTCATTTTATTCCTGAGGGGTTTATCTGTCCTGGATTCCTTGTGTTTCCAGCTCTTATCTATACCGGTGTACATGTTCTGGTCTAGCTGGATTTGTAAGGTAGAACTGGGATCATGATGCGGAGTGGGGGTGGGGAACATTAAAAACTAGAGGAAAGTTGTATGTTTTGTCAGTGCTATACTACGCCTGGACTGCCTCCTCTCTTCCTTGTGACCCTTCTGTAAGGGGATGTCCAATTGTCTACAAATGGGCTTTGGTTCTCTACTCCGCCCTCCCCCTCATTCACATCCATATGATTTTTTGTTCTGGGTCTTTTATGCCTCATACCTGATCCCATTGACCCCTCAAGATCCCACAGGCTGGTGTGTTTCTTCCATGTAGGCTTTGTTGCTTCTCAGCTAGATGGCCGCTTGTTTATAAATACAAGTTTTAAAGAGCAGAATAGTTTTCTATTTTATAACTTACACACATTTTGTTTCATTGATTGCCTTATATCAAATGGCTGTTTATTTAAGGAATGCATACTCGCCTTATATTGTTTGCCATATACAACTGTCTGTGGTCTCTTTAATATGTTGAGAAGCACGGATGTTGCTTTGAGAACTAAGGTGTGCCTGACATAAGCCATAGTATTTTCAGTCGCCTCATATGCATGTGGAAGTTGGACAATAAATAAGGAAGACCAAAGAATAGATGTGTTTATATTAGGGTGCTGGCAAACAATATTGGAAGTACCTTGGACTGCCAAAAGAGCAAACAAATTTGTCCTGAAAGAAGTCCACCCAGAGTGTTCCTTAGAAGCAGGGGTGGCGAGACGTCGTCTCCCATACTTTGGATATAGCAGATAAGACTGGCCCCTGCAAAAGGACATCATCCTTGGTAAAGTAGGGGGCCAGCAAAAGAGAGGAAGATCCCTCAGGATGGATTGACAAATTGACTGCAGCAATGGGCTCAAATATAAAGAATTGTCAGGAAGGCACAGACTGGGTGTTGTTTCATGCTATTGGATATACTGTATGCCTTGTGTATAAGCCGAGTTCTTCAGCATACTTTTTAATGTATTTTTTGTGGTAAAATTAGGTGACTTGGCTGATATTCGTGTTGGCTTATACTCGAGTATATACGGTAGGTTCACTGTGAGTGGTAACCGACCAGATGGTACATAGCAACAGCATTGTTTGGTTGACATTTAGCCAAGGGGCTGAGTTCAGTTCCTGGCCTTTAGGTGACTATGGAATATGGCCTTTGGGGGTTTCACAGTTACTGTCTAACCACAGTTTCCTTTGCCATTTGGGTTTTGTTCCACATTTTTCTCCTACTCTTTTTAGACTCCTATTACAAACCCCTTTCAAACCCAGCAGCTCCTCCAAGGAACAAAGATGAAGCTGATCACTCCACTAAAAATTTACAGTCTTGGAAACCAGACGTAGGGTCACTATGAATTGGAGTTGACTCAATCGCAGTGAGGTTTGGTTTTATTGTGACCCCTTTCAGGGCTGTTTGCAGTGGTGGGCCAGCACTACCTCATTCTTGTAGTGTCAGGGTGTGTAGCTGTGTGGCTTACATGGTCCCTTAGTCCTTTGGGTTGATTTTTTTCCTTGAGTCTTTGATTTTCTTTATGCTTTCTTGTGGGTAGAGAGACCTTATATAGCCCCTCACCAGCTTTTAAGATCCCAGTCACTACACACCCCAGTAGACTTCCTTTGTGGACTGTGTTCTGCTAATTAACCTTGACATCCCAAGATTCATTCCCTCAAGGTGTTTGGTTATGGCTAGAAAGTTTCATGGTGGAACTCTCGGGCAAGTGCTAACCACAAGATCAGTGTTCAAAGACAGAATGATGAGGCGATCTGCTCCTTGAAAGGTTTACAGCCTAGGAGGGTTCTGTTACCTTCCAGCAACAATGGACGCCATCCGGCAGCCTGAGTCTCCATTGCAAGGCCCGGGGACTGGGCTGGGAACCCCTGCATTCTGACCTCGAAGTCCTGGGCAGCAGATGAAGAGAGTTTGTAACCATGCACCTTGAGGAGCCCAACCTATGGTGTGTAGGCTGGAACATTGGTGGGAACTGGAGTCGCCCACAGCCCAGCAAGACAGGAGCCCCTGCACAGTGTGTATTTGGGGGCTAGAGCTCATCCCAACAGACAAGGCAGTCTTGCCTATGGGCTTTGGTGGGTGGTCGGATTGGGACAAGCAGCTAAGCTTTTCTATAGCAGAGCCAGGAGCTTGGGGGGGTGGGGGGCACACTCAAGGAAAACTGTATCCTGCCCGTTGTGTCCTGAGTGGCTGGGAACTAGCCAAAATCAAGGATTGTTGATAGTAGAGAGCGCCAGGATTGCAGGTAGTGCAGGAGGGATCGATGTCCCTTGCTCAGTGGTGAAGTGTAGTGGTCTTTGATAAATGTGAACAGTTGCTGCTTCCAGCTGGTTGGGAGTAAAAACCACAACAAAAGAAAATACTAACTAAATAAATAAGGGAATAATAAAAGAAAAGGAAATGAAAACAAGGTAAAATAATAAAATTAGATGATGAAAAAGGAGTCGAAATTTTTTAAATAATTATGAAATAAAATGAGGGGGAGAAAAAGGAAAAGGAAACCAAGAAAAAATACAGGGAACAAAAAGGACCAAGGAGTCGAAACAGGGAAGCAGGGCACCTATATAGTGCTCTTCCTGGCCAGACTGGTAATGGGAGCCTAGCACCCTGGGCAGATTCGGTGGAAGCCACTGGGCTGTGGAGCACCTGGTTTGGACAAAGTTTCTACTAGCCAAAAACGGGCCCTGAGTCAAGTACCTGGTCCCAGAAGGATTTTCAGCTGGCCCAAAGGGCAGCTGGGGTCAAGATTCCTGATCCCAGAAGTGCCTGCGTGCCTGCCTGCCTAGAGGGCACCTGGGGTAGACTAGTCTCTGAAGGTGTTGCTGCCAGCCCATGGGACAGCTAGAGGCAGATTTGCCTGGTATGAGAAAGAGTTCCTGCAGCCCAGGGTGTAGGTGAAGGTAAGGTGCTTGTCTGGCACTGCTTGTCCTACTGGCCAGTAAAGAAGGCTAGCACTTGCCTCGAAATGCAGTAATGGCATGCACCCAGTGCCAGGTCCATAAGAACTGCTCGACCTTCCGTTGGAGCAGTAATGGGGAGAGAGGTAGGCCGGTGTCTGGCCATGTTCACTGGGAGGGTGTGCGGAACACCCTTTCTAGTCTAATCAGCAGCCGCCATTGTGCTCTCTTGTGCTGTCCTGGGCAGGCCACTGCCTGATCAGACTGCTGCTTGCAAAAGCTCAAAGTGGCTGTGCTCCATCAGGCCTGATGACAATTCTGTCTTCCTCCTTAATTACTGGGGTTTCTTTGTGCAACATCTAGTCCTGTTCAATCCACTTCTCAATCCTTTCCTCTTGTTTCTTTGTTGTAGAGGGTCTGAGTAGTCAGCCTGCCTAGTTTGCTATCTCACTGGAAGTCATGTTTTTTACATTTCTATGGCTTATTGAATTTATTTATAGGGTATTAGAATATTTTGCATCCTTTTTTAACAAAATAGCATTTTCAATAAATTGATATGCCATGTTGTATAGAGTAGTGCTATGTATACAAGCTAATTATTTGTAATTGAAAAGAAAAGATTGTATCCTAACGCTACCTTTATTTTTTGTTTTCCCACACAGATGACATTAAGCAGTTCCTGGATTACTTTTTGCCAAAAAACCCTTTCTGAATACATTGAGAGTGATAAGGTAGTATACTGCCTCCAGACTCTTATAATTGTAATAAAAGAAATCTTGAAAGATACATTTTCACAAAAAACAGGTAAATATTATTTGTTGTTCTATAAATGATAAATGCCATTATCTTGCTCCTAAGGAGCAATACTACATATATATATAGTATTATTCAGAACTTATTTTAAACATCTGACCCGTGTTACTGTGTGAAAACTAAAGACTTCCCTATAATTTTTTGATTGAGGATACCTACGAGGGTGCACATCACCTCAAAACAAAACAACAAAAAGATGGAAAATAGCTCCATTGGGCAGAGCTTTTGTACTATGCATTTTTCCCACTAGGTGAACATGGAGCAACTCAGTCTGAGTTAATGTAGCCAGTGGAGTCACAGTGAATTTTTTCATAAAGGTACTTTCACTTGAACTTTGTTTTTTGTGATGGCCAGTTTAAGAGAACAGTGTGCAACTCTGAAATTTTGTTTCCTGCTTGAGAAAAATGCCACAGAAACTGTTGTGATGTTGAACATAGCTTACAAGAACAGCACTATGGGGAAAATCTCTAGTGTACGAGTGATTTTCTCATATCAGAAAAGGTGAAATGTCGATTGATGACAAACCTCATTCTGGACTTCTGTCAACTTCCCAAAAGGATTAAAATGTTGAGTAGCATTGCATTTGGAGTTCGTTCCACCAGGTCAGACTGTTAATCAATCTTTCTATTTAGAGGTTCTGAAAAGATTGCTTAATAGCGACAAAAAGAGGCCTGCTTTGTGGCAGACAGAGGGGGACTGTTTTGCCACCACGACAATGCACCTGTTCACACAGCCATCTCAGTGCGCTAGTGTTTGGTAAAAAAACAGCTTGCCTCACACACCTGAATCACCTGACTTTGCACCATGTGACTTCTTTGTTTCCATGAATGAAGAGGGACATGAAAGGACAGCGATTTGATGAGGTAGCAAAGGTAAAGAAAAAAATGCGGGAGATGCTGTCAGCCATCCAAACATGAGTTTGAAAAATATTTCCAAGAATGGAATCACAGATTTGACCAATGTACTAAGTATAATGGAGAGTACTTTGAAAGTGATAAGGTTGTTTTGTTAAAAAAAAAAACAAGTACCTCATACCTTTTAAAGAAAATAATCTGAAGGGAAATTTTAAAGCTTTTCATTACTGTTATTCTTCACATAGTCTGGTGTCTATAATTACATCATTGACAATAATAGTGATTACTAGCTAAAACCTGTTCCTATTAAAGATAGTACAACTCTTTCATATTTAATATTTTATGTTTTTCATTTTTAATATTCCTAAAGACTTAATTATAAAAGCATGTATTAGAAGTCTTTATTTTCCCTGTGTTTATAACTATTTTTATAATTTCAGAAATTCTAAAGCAGTTCCTGGCTCCTTTTGATACTACTTTTGGAATGTTTTATTATTCCATATTTTCTCCGTGTTTTGAAAAATGCCAAGAGAGTTCTAAAATAATAAACAGCTTGATGTGTTTCCTGGAGTTTCTTGAACTTCTTGTATCCTCCAGAATCTACCTGCAGTTACATTTCACTTGCCAGAGGATTTTCTTTCTGAGCCCTTCTTGTGTGCTGGCTGTTCTTACCTGGCCCGCTCCAGCTTTTGTCAAAAGGAAGTTGATCATATTTATGAAAAAGTGCTTTCTCTGTAAAGTAGGTGAAGACCTCTTTCGTGGATGTGTTCCTGTACTCAGGCCACAAGATGAGCTTTTAGATATGGACATGTTGGCTCTAGCAAATGCTGTTTTGGATGCTGTGAAAATAGGGTGGTTGAGAACATTGCCTATTCTTGAAAAATCTTCCTGCTTTGGAGGCGACAACATTCAGCCAGGATGTGAAAGTAACCGTAGTCCAGATCATGTGATCCTTAGAGCAGCATCTTTAGTTTTAATTAAATCCTTGGAACTCAAGTTTCAAAGTTGTACTTCACTAAGTGAAATACAAGGTAATTATCTGAAATCCTTTTTTATGCAATTTGTAATTAGATAAGTAAAATCATAATCATTGAATCTCAGGAACCAGTTTATAGTCTACTACTTTGTTTAAGCTAGTTATTTTTAATTAACTTCAAAAAAGAGAGAGACCTAAAAGTACCCTAAGAAGCACAGTTTTTATGTGCTAAACTGAATTTGTGCAACATAATGAATAGCTTCAAAACAAAAAAACCAAACTTACTGCCATTAAGTCAATTCATAGTGAGCCTGGAGGACAGAGTAGAACTGCCCCTGTGAGTCTCCAAGGCTGTAAGTCTCTATGGGAGTCGAAAGCCTCATCTGTCTCCTGGAGAGCGGCTGGTGTTTCTCAATGACAGACCCTGCAGTTAGCAGCCCAAATTGTTAACTACTGTGCCACTAGGACTTCTTAAGAATAGCTTAGGTTACAAAACAAAACTGGTGTCTGGCACCTCAAAATAAGTGACATAAGTTAATGTAAGTTTGTATTGATTGTAATATCGTAGGAGCACTAGAGACACAGTAATTAAAGTGCTTGACTGCTAACCTAAAGGTCAGCAGTTTGAACCCAGAATCCACCAGCTAGCTTTTCCTTGGGAGAAAGATCTGGCAGTCTGCTTCCATAAAGATTTATAGCTTTGGGAACCATGTGGAGCAGGTTCCCTGTCCTACAGGGTCCTTGTGAATCAGAATCTACTTGACAGAAATGAGTTTGGCTTTGTTTTAGAATTCATATTATCCTTCATAAAATTAATGTAATGCCAATTATTGATATTTAGAAATTAAATGGAAACGAATGTGTAACAGTTACATTGGTTAAGAAATGATTGCATACATAATATCCTGGATGTTAACTCATGCCCAAAGCAAACCACTTTGTGTGCCATTTAATTTAGTGTTAGAAAACATGTACCCCCTTTCACTTGAGAACAACAAACAGCCAGCATTTATAAACAATCAGCATCAAAATTAAAAGTTTGTTTTAATTTTAAGCATTTTATTTCTTAAATTGCTTTGGATAAGAGAAAGTAGGGGAGAAAGGGGGAACTGATCACAATGACCTATACATATAACCCCATCCCAGGGGGACAGACAACAGGAAAGTGGGTGTAGGGAGACAGTGGTCAGTGTAAGACATGAAGAAAAATGATAATTTATAAATTATCAAGGGCTCATGAGGGAGGGGGAGGGGAGATGAGCTGATACCAAGGGCTCAAGTAGAAAGAAAATATTTTGAAAATGATGGTGGCAACATGTACAAATGTGCTTGACACAATGGATGGATTGTTACAAGAGCTGGAAGAGCCCCCCAAATTAAAAAAAAACACCTGCCCGTTCAATAAAATTTGTGCAGTTGTAATTTAAAACACTAGGTGGCATGTTTTATATAACTCAGTTTTAAACTGCAATTAAAACTTCTCAAGACTTTTTTGCATCCATATCTTACAGTTGTACTGTACTGTTTGCAATTGTTTTGTAAGTAGTAGTAGTATGTAAAACTACTTTTTGTTTTTTTAATTTTACTCATTTTATTGGGAGTTCTTAACAGGTCTTATAACAATCCATACATCAGTTGTATCAAGCACATTTGTACATAAGTTGACATCATTTTCAAAATAATTTTCTTTTCTGTTTGAGCCCTTGGTATCAGTTCCTCTTTTTTCCACCTTCCGACCTTCATGAACCCCTGATAAATTGTTATTTTTTTCATATCTTACCCCCCACTGTCTCCCTTCACCCACGTTACTGTTGTTCGTCCTCCTGGGCAGTGGGCGGGGGGGTGGGGGGCAGAATTCTACATCGATCATTGTAGTTGGCTCCCCCTACAAAACTGCTTTCGTTGGGGCATTGTTGCCTCTAGTAATAGATACTTAAGGTAATTTCTGTTACAATTCTCTTACTTGAATATTTTTAGGCTATAAGAATTCACATTAAAGATGACACTTTTAGTTCTCTTTGACAATTACTTATTTGACACCTATGTCAAGGAGCCCTTATATAGTGGTTAAGCACTCCAATGCTAATCAAAACGTCAGTTCAAATGCACCAGCCATTCAGTGGAAGACAAATGTGCTAGTCTGCTTTTAGAAAGACTGACAGCCTTGGAGACACTCTACGGCCGGCTGTTCTGCTCTTCCTTCAGGGTCACCGTGAGTCAGAAAAGAACCCATGGCTGTATGTTCGGTTTGGTTTGGGCATCTGTGTCAAATAGAAATTTAATGGTCTAGATATTTTCACAGTACGCTCTTAGGCATGTTTCCTCTCTGAGCCTCAGTTTCTTATTTCCAGAACAGAAATCTTTAATGCATAGTATTATTTGACAGTGTGCACTGTGGTCATGTATTTTAGGTACAGCTGACCTTTGAATAATAGGGGAATCAGGGGCACCAATCCCCTGCATAGTCGAAAATCCATATATATATATATATAATTTTTTACTCCCTCTAAAACTGATACTAATATCCTACTGTTGAACAGAAACCTTACCAATAACATAAACATCAGTTAAAATTTATTTTGTATGTTATGTACATTATATAGTATACCCAAATAAAAGCTACAGCTTGGATACAAGATAAAAATTTTGTGAAAATTGGAGGGTTTTCAATTTTCTGGCATAGCTGCAGTAACAAAATCATGAATATCCTCCCCTTTTTAATGCTAGATTCCTTTCTCTTGAAATGACAGGCAACCAAAACTGCGTATCTCAATCTACAATACTGCGCATTAGAGATTTCAAGGAATTCAACTTTTTCTTGTAATGTTATGACTTTCCTTCTTGGCAGTATTTCCAGCATCACTACTGGTGCTTCCTATGGATTGTGAGGTGTTATTCAAGGTTCATAGTATTTCACTAAACATGGTGAAAAATACAAGGGATCGCTTTTTACTACCATGCCGTTTACTGGAGAGATAAACAGCTCACACAGAGATAATTGATATTCATGACATTTTTTTAAAAGCTCCATGTATACATGAACCTGTATTTTATTAGGGTCAACTGCTTTATATTCGTTATAAATTTATATGTATAAGGTGTTATTCCTGCATCCATGCACTGTAACCTATGCTTTGAGATTTCTGTCATTTTAAGTTGATTTACAGAGATTCATGTCTGAGTTACTGACCTTCTTAACGCATCATCTTCAACCTTCTCTGCGGTTACATAGTCCATGTGAGTGGCTGTCTAGGGTGTTTATAGAACAGGATGATGACATGCTAGAAGCTGCCAAGGGAACTCTGGGCCTCTACCTAAAGTTGACCAGGTTGGTATAGTTTTAAATAATTGTTATATTACGTACATGCTGGGAAAGCAGAAAACATTTTCTAATAATTGAGCTGTGTATTTTATTTACCTTTGGGGGAGGTGTCCCTAAGAATGATTCTAGTTTTCTCATAAGTACTACCTCTTTATTGCTTGAGAAACGAAATAAGACACATCTGAGTGTTTAACTACTGCACAAATGTTCCTTGCCATAGATGCCAAATAAATAATTATCACTGAGAAATAAGTGACATCTTTAATGCAAATTTCTTATTTATACCGTCCCTACATTAATATATAAAGTAGTAGTATAGTGGGCTGTGCAGTGAATTCAAATCCACCTGCCACTTCTCGGGAGAAAGATGACTTTTTGTTGCTCTAAAGATTTACACTCCCAGAAACACACAGGGGATATTCTTTGTCTTGTAGGGTTGCTGATGAGTCAGAATTGACTCCATGGCAGTGCGTTTGGTTTCTCGATTTGGTCGATCTGAAAACAAGATTACATTTGAGTTCCCATGATGAAATGTGGCGGCCTGGGCAAATTTGCAGTTCTAGAACTGGAATGGGCTGAGAAAACAGGTTTTAGTTCAGTTGCTGCTCCCTTTTGACCTCTGTGATCAAGACCTTTACTTAGTTGATGTTTAAGAACACTTTGTAGTTTTAACACCTACTGCTCTGTATTGAGCTATAAATGTTAATAATTACTTTTGCCATTATAAAGATGATTATGAGCTTATAAAAAATGAAAGGAGATGTACTCAATTATTTATTTAATATTATAGTTGAATTTGAGCTGATACCTTCTTGAGACCAGTATCTGAAATTAGTTAGAAAGTTATATTATTGGTAACTTCTTATGCCGACCCTGTTTCTCCTTTATTAAAACATGTGTTTGGGGTTATATATTCTTGTTTCAAGGAGCTATTAACTGGTTATGAAATAACTGATGACCTTTTATACCATTTCTGCTTCTTCTTTATTAAAGCACTAAAATGCTTTGTTGCTTAGCCTGGGCAAAAGAGATTTCTTGTTGATTGTCACTGTCATATTTTTCTGTCAGTATTTACATGTATTACGGCACTGTTGGCACTGGTAGCTTTCTGCTACTAGTAAGAGTTTGTGGACAATTTTCAAAAGATTCTAATCAAGAACACAGAATTGCTGCATGTAATTTGAATTTGATTCAAAAGTGGCCAAACCCCAGATCAGTCCACAAATGCACATTATATGCTTTTTCTATCTTACTTTTGTGGTCAACTTGGTTCTGACTCATAGTATCCTTATAGGAAAGAGAACTTTTCCATAGAATTTCTAAGGCTATAAATCTTTTGAAATTAGATGACCACATCTTTCTTTCATGAATCATGTTGTGAATTTAAACCACCAACCTTTAGGTTAGCAACGGACACTTTTTAACCACTGTTAAATGAGGGCTCCCAGAATATATCTTGGCTATCGTCAAAGTTGGCTGCTTGCTTCTTACTTCTCAGGATAGAGGAAGTTTATTAATTAAATTCACTCTTGCTATGTGAATTTCTAATGTTTCTAGCATCAGTATATGCAGAGAAACTTGTTCTTATGTCATAAGTAATATTTTAATGGAATTAGGATATTTGTTGTTGTTGTTGTAGATGATAAGGAACAACCCAAAACTAGTTTAGGGGAAAAATACTTATTGGCTTATGACTGAGAATTCCAGAGTCAAGAAGAATGGAGGAGTTCACAATCACATGATCATTTTTCTTTCACAGCTTAGAATTTCTTCTTAGGCGTGTTCACCTACAGCTCTAGGGTTTTTTCTAGCAGCCAGTCTTACAGTTACAATTTTTAGTAGCTTCAGCAAAAGTTGCAGTTATGAGCTGATTGCCTTAGCTTGGGTCACAGATTCTCGTCAGAGCCAGCCAAGTACTTTGACTGGTCAGTCTGGATCATCTGCCTTCTCCTGTTGAGGAAAGTATGGCAAAAAGCAGGCTTCTAGCCCTGCTATACCACATGGAATCCGTTACCTATAAGAATGAGAGGTGAGAGGCATTGGTAGAATCTTCACCTTTCATATAGGAGATCTGGGTTTGTTTACTAACCAGTGCACCTCGTGCATGAACTTCTAGCCTACAGTTAACTAAGAATAAAGGCTTCGAGATCTACTTTTGCAAACCGGCCAATGAAAGCCCTAGTCCTCACAAAACAGTTCAGTTCACAACCAGTCATAGGAATGCACAAAACTGGGCAACATTTTGTTCCCATGTTCATTGGATAACCGTAAGTCAGGAGGCAAGGTGGCTAAAAGCAACAAGAATAAAGGATTTTGATTTTGCTGTAAGAGATGACATTGGGCATTTGATAAAGAAAAAACTAAGTGTACATTGTTTACTTTATTGAATCCAATTTGTTTTTCAGTTTGTAGTAAGGTAAAGAGTTGGTTTTGAATTTTTTACTTTTTAAAGAGTAGATTAAAAAGTATTGAGTGATGTGTGAATTATGTGTTAAAGCTGTTCCCTACTAAAAGTAATTAATCTGAGATATTATTTATTTTCAGAGACTGTTGTGAAGCTTCTGGATGCACAGCCCAAGAAAAGGAAATGTGGAATCGTCACACACATGAATGTGGCTATAATCCTCACTGTATTTTCTTGTTCTTTTTAAAAAATGTAGGATTTGATTCTACATTTCTTCTGGATTTTTTGATTTCATCAGAAACTTGTTTTCTTGAATATCTTGTTCAGTATTTAAAATTACTCCAAAGAGACTGGCATACATTTTTTACCATTTGCAAGTGCTTTGATGAATCAAAAAATGGCATCAGTAGTGGCTGCATTCTTTCACCTCTCCCAGAAAGAAGCACCAACCCAACAAAGTCACCTTACTGGAGTACTCTTGAAAGTCAGCTAGATGCTCGTGCTTGGCTATACTCAGATTCTGATGCTTCTTCTGCACCTTGGAAGAGGCAATGTGATGACCAGGCCAGGATGTCCAAGGACACTCATTCCAGGCTTTGTACTGCTAGTCTGTCGTCCTCTTGTGCTTCCCAAAGTTTGGTAGATTATGATAGTTCTGATGATTCAGAGGTGGAATCTACGGACCATAGTTTGGCAAACAGTAAGCAGATGTCTTCACACAAAGAAGCAGTGACGATACAGGAGGCAACTGGAACAAATAGCAGTAATAAAGAGCTGGCTCTAGAACCTTGGTCAAGGCCTTTGGTTGTAAAAGAATCTAATTGTTCCTTCTCTGTTGATTGCGACGTGTCCATAAATAGTATTGTCTCTGAAGCAGGGATATTTTACAAAACAGTTAAGTGCTTTGAAGAGTTACATAGTGGTATTTACCGTTTGCAGAAGAAAAATCTTTTCCCATATAATCCAACAGCACTTTTAAAGTTGCTAAAAAATATTGAGAAAATGTATTAAGACTATAAAGCCTTTGTAAAACAGCATTTTACTTCCAAAAGTAAATATTTTCTCTTAATGTGTAATTATGAAGATGGAGCAGGGCCACGCAGAGTTGCAGAGTTTCGTTCTGTTGTGCATAGGGTCACTGGGTCAGAACTGACTCTTGATGGCATCTGATAACAATCACCACTGCCAAGTGTAATTTGTATCTAAATAAAGATAATGTTTTCTTGGAAAATAACTCAAAGGTGTTCTTCAGTTTGTTAGTTTTTCCTGCAAAAAGACACATCAATATTAGGTCACTTGCTACCAGTGTATGCAACTTAAAATTTATGGTTATTTAAGCTTACACAAAATTGAGGATGTCTGTTTCTACTGAAGATGTTTAAATGTGATGTCATATTAATATCATTGTTATCTTTTAAAGGAGAGGCAGGAAAATCAAGTTTTAGTGTGTTTATTAGATTTGTGTACTATGAACAGCAATGATATACTGGTAATCTGTCATTAAAGCAAACTGAAATTCTATCTTGAAAGTATTTTCTTAAATGATCCTTTTGTAGAGAATTAAAAAACAACCTGTAAAACTTTAAAAATATATTTCAAGGCTGTGGTAATCAAAATAGCTTAGTACATACAGAGAAATGAAGTGACCAGTGTAATCAAATATATAATTGCTATATAAAATAAGAATGAAATGGCAATGTTAACTAAATAGAAATAGAAAGGTCAGAGGATTTGGTAGCACACTTGTTGATGGAGATAATACTTTGGGAAGTTTCTCACATATTCCTTGATAAAAAAATACCATTTTTAGGAATATTAACACATGAACACAAAATGAACATAAAATGAAGGATGCCATAGTGTAAAAGCAACGGACTAGCAATGTCTGGTTAAATAAAAATGTATATATGCTGTGGAATACTATATAGCTATGAAATGAGTAAGGATATCCTTATTTGTGAATGTGAAACTGCAGGGACAGTGGATTATTTAATAATGATTTTTTAGCCAAAGTCTTTTAATTCCAACCAAATGACCTTTACCTTTATGAGTCTGGTAAGAAGGTAGGTGAAGAGAGGGATACGATACTAAAGTCCTTGAAACGAAGCGAAACATTTGGGACACAGCGAAAGCAGGTAAAAAGTCACTGCCATTGAGCCAGTGCCAATTCAGTGACCCTGTAGGACAGGGTAAAACTGTCCCTGTGGGTTTCCGAGCCAGTAATTCTTTATGGGAATAGAAAGTCTCCTCATTCTCTGATTAGCAGCTGGTGGTTTCAAACTGCTGACCTTCCAGTTACAGCCCAATTTGAAACCACTATGCCACTAGGGCTGCTACAGAAGCGGTTATCAGAGAACACTTTATAGCAGTCAATGCACATGGAAAAAGAACCCCCAAATCCACACCTTCACCCAGTATCTTCAAGAACAAGAGCAACAAAATCAACCTTCAGCCACCAGCAGAAAAGACACTTTAAAGAGTAGAGCAGAAGTAAATTAATTGGAAAACACAGAAAAAAATCAATACAAGAAATTGAGCCTTTGAAAGATTGACAACACTGATAAATCACAAATTTTAAAAGGAAAAAAAGAGAAGGTGTAAATGTTCAGAATTGGAGATTAAAAGGGTGATATCACCACAGAACCAACCGAAATAAAAAAGTTAATAATTACAACCAAAGACTATTCTAACAAATTTGAAGACCTAGATGAAATGGGAAAATATCTAGAAACACACCATCTACCCAAATTAACAGATTGATGAAAATTTCAACAGACCCATAACAAAATAAGAAACATTTTGAGTCATTTTAAAACATTAAAACAAAGTCCAGAACTAAATGGCTTCTAAGTCTTCAGAGAAGAGTTGATATCAATTCTACACAGATTTTCTAGAATATAGAGAAGGACCAAAAAACCCCCAACTCAGTTTATGAAGCAATCATAAAACCCTGAGAACAAAACCAGACTGAAGATCCCACAGAGGCTACTACAGAACTGTTTACAGGAGTAAAAAGCCCAATCTTTCTCCTGAGACACTGCTGGTGCAGCTCAACCTGTCACCACTACACCACCAGGGCTCATAGATGCAACAATTCTAAATCAAATCCTAGCCAATATATACAATATTTCGTAAACAATGCACCATGATCAAGTGGACTTCAAGCCAGCTAGACGTTTGGGTAAACATTAGAAAAACAATATAATCCACCATACAAACGACAAAATATCAGAACCGTATAATGCTGACATCTGACAATATCCAACACCCATTCCTGATAAAAAGTCAACAAAGTAGGCACAGAAAGGAAGTTTCTAACCACAATAAAGGCCATATATGAAAAACCAACCACCACCGTCTTGCTCAACGGAGAATTGGAAGCCTTCCTCTTGTGAATGGGAACCAAAAACGGGTGCCACTTAGCACCACTCTTATTCAACATTGTGCTGGAAGTCTTAGAACCATTAAACAACGAAAAGGAATCTAAGTGGACAAAGAAGTGAAACTTAACTATTTGCAGATATGATTTTTGTAAATGTAGAAAATGCCAAAGACCAAATTATTGTTGGAAACAAAAGATAGGGCACCATGGCAGGATACAGGATTAACATACAAAAATTATTAGGATTTCCATATATTACCAAGAACTCTTGAAAGAAGCCAAGAAAACAATACCATTTACAATATCCAAACAAAAGGTGGAATACTTAGTGATAGACCTAACCAGCAAAGGGAAAAACTTGTACAAAGAAAACTACAGAACACTACTACAAGAAACCAAAGAGACCTACAGAAATGGAGGACTATGTTGTTCCTGGTTAGGAAAGTCCAGTATTATGAAAATATCAATCCTACCCAAAGCCGAGCTCCAAGCTAACTTCCATCAAGTCAATTCTGACTCAGTGGTAAAACAGCTGTACGTTTCTGCTCCCAAATCTTACAGTAGACAGCTTCAAACTTCTCTTGCAGAGTGGCTAGTGGTCTTGAATTTCTGCCCTCGCAGTTAACAGCCGAACACCCGCTCTGTTGCCACGAGGGATCTTATAAATCCAACACTGTAAATAAAATGCAATTCTTATCCAGTCCCAACTTCATTCTTTAAAGAAACTAAAAAAAACCCAAAAAAACCAATTGCTAACTTAATATAGAGAGGGGAGGAACCCAGAATAAGCAAAAAACTACCTAAGAAAAACAAAATAGGAGACTCCCCGACCTTAAAACTTCCTACGTAGCCATGGTAGGCGAAACAGCATGCTCCTGGAAAAATGATTGGTGACAATGGAATAGAGCAGAAAACTCTGAAATCTTACATCCACCTATAGACAAATGAAACTCACCAAAGGACCAAAAAAAAAAAAATTAAATGGGAACGAGATGGTCTCTTCAACAAAGGGTGCTAGCAAAAGAGGACCCCCACTTTCAGAGGAATGAAGTAGGATCTCATATCTAACCCTATCAACAAATATGAACTCAAGATGGACCAATACCCTAGGTGTAGTACCAGAGCGAGGAGGCATCATGGCATAGTGGATTACACTTTGGGCTGCTACCCAAAAGGTCAACAGTTTGAACCCACCAGCAGTTCCACAGGAGAGATGGGACTTTCTACTCTGGTAAAGACTTGTAATCTCAGAAACTCAGGAGCCATTCTTCCCTGCCCCGTGAGGGCACTGTGAGTCAAAATTAACTTGATAGCAATGTCTTTCTTTTTTTTAAAATAAATATTATCAAAAGTAGCAGCAAACTTACCCTATTGCGGGGCATAAACGTGCTGTCAAATGCAATGAAAGCACATTACTATAGAAGACAAATTAGATGACTTGGACCTACTAAAAATAAGACACTTCTGTCCATCTAATTGTTGAGTTTCTGGGGTGGTTTACCTCGGTTCTTCTCAATGCTGAAAGAATTCATGCGGCAGAAGCACTTTTGTAAATCCAAGTGACTTTTATGAGGGAAAGGGAAGTTTCAGGTGTTACAGTCTCAGAAAGTACACACTATCTCTGGAAAGTGCAAGGCCACATGGCTGGGGCTGTGGCAAAGTTCTCGACTGAAGGTGGCCACTTCAGGGAGCACAGGAAAACACGTAAAAGGAGTACTGGAACAGGAATGTGGATCCAGAGTGGTGCCAACGGAGCAGAACCAAGAGCACGAAATACGAAGAGGGGCGAGTGGGTGCACACATGGGAGGAATCCCACCCTCTGACCTCCAAGAGAGCACCTGAACAAGAGGAAATGGCTTGCCTCAGTCTGCCATTTATCCCCTTCTACTGGGGACAGGGGCGTGGTTGAGGGTACTGGCTGACTTATTGACGTAGTTTAGGCTCACCTGTATGATGTAATATTGTTGGCACCTGATGTGGGTGTGCCCAGGTTGGCTTCCATCTGGACTTAGGTGGCCTGGGTCTGCTTATGCATTTTGGATTTTCCCATAGGTGTCTAATTAGTGTGTCTGATTCCTTTCCCAACACCTTTATTGTGCCAGTGCCAGCTGTTTTTTGTTTAGGGTAGGCATCTGGCTGTCAAAAAGACTTCATCAAAAGAGCAAAAGGAGAGCTCATGGACTGGGAAAAATCTTTAGTAACGAAACAACAAAAAGGGAGCAATCTCTTAAAATCTATAGGAAACTGCCATACTTCAATGGGAAAAACATTCCATTTAAGAATTGGGTCAAAGACATGAACAGACAGTGCACCAAAAATGGCATCCTAATGGCTAGATAACATGAAAAAATGCTCATCATTACTAGCCATTCAAGAGATGCAAATCAGAACAAAAATGAGATCACTTTACACTGACAATTACAGCCCAATTAACAACTAAGCAGAAAACATCAAGTGCTGGAGATGGTACGGAGAGACTGGAATTCTTATACATGGCTGAGGGGTCTGTAAATATGTGCAACCATTGTGGAAAGCAATATGATCCTACTTCAAATACCTAGGAATAGAAATTCCATAAGAGCCAGCAATTCTTCTGCTGGGTATATACTTTAAAGCTGTAAGAGACATAACACAGACATATGCACTCCTATGTTCATCACAGTAATAACACAATAGCAAAAAGGCAGAAACAGCCCAAAACCCAATTAGTAGAAGAATGAAGACTCTTTGGTAGATACACACAATGAACACGGTGCATCACTGTGATGAAACCCAAGGCACCTTTAACATGGATGAACCTGACAAACATGTTGACTGAAGCTAAGTCAATCACAAAGGGGCAAATCCTGTCAGACCACTACTACAAGGAGAAAAAATAAGACAAAGACATGCATACAAAAAGGAATGAATTTTGGAGGTTCCCAGATCAGGGAAGGCAAAGGCTGGACGATACAGCAACAGGCTAGAAGGTTGACAGGTATTGACTTAGCTGATAGGGAGGCTAGAGATCCCTCTGAGAGGGAAGAGAAATCAGAAGGGGGTAGGGGTGGGGGCAGTGGTGGATGAGTACTTTGAACTGCTGAATGCACAATTGATGGTCTGAAATAACCTAATTATTATAAACCTAAATGTGTAAGT